CTCCCCCACAGCCCGGCCCGTTAGTGCTGGGCAGAGCGCCGACAGGGCCTCACTGAGCCCGCAGGCGGCCCCCAGCCCAGCCCAGACGCCCGGGAGCCCCAGGCCTGTTGGAGCCTGGGCCCCAATTACCCCCTCCCCCAAGTTGGTCTCTTCCAGGGACCCGCAGCCCCTTCAGCTCTCCTAGGCCTCACTGTATCCTAAACCAGTCCTTCTGCACAGCCTTAGATCCCTGGAAGCCCCCGGCCTCTTAGAGCCTGGGATAACCATTACACACGCATACACACGGCCTCCAGCAGGGACACCCAGCTCTACCCCTAGGCCAATCCTCTGGCTCAGCTCATTCCATTCAGGAGACCTCACTGGCCCAGCTGACCCAACACAAGCTTAGACAGGCCCAGGTCCCCACGGCTAATACCAGGCCTCTCAAACTGACCCCAGTCTCCTAGCAGTTCTCTGCCTCCCCCTTATGCTGGCCAAATGATCCACCCACAGACGCCTAGAGCCAAGACTATGGGGCTGGCCTCGGGGAGGCAACTACAAGGAGCGGTTGAAGCAGAAGTGCTGCCCGACAGTACTTGGTTTTAGAAAAGGTACGAGCCAGAGGATAAATGGCGCTGGATTAGGAAAGGGGTCCAGAGCTTGACCCTCAGCTAGAGTGGCTAGTGTGAAAAGTGGAAGCCGACTCTGCCTTAACCAAAAATGCCTACACAGCCCCACCCAGCAAGGCACCCCCAGGCAGAGGCCAGCATGCTCTTTCAAAGAACTCTCCTCAGGAGTCTGGTGCGTTTAGAGCTGAGGACCGTGCAGAAGTGATCAGCATCAACTGTAATTTTCACACCTCCCAGCTTTTCTAAAATAGCTGTCTGACCCTAAAGAAAAGGACGCCAGGAGGAACGGGCTGTTGGGGAAAATGTCCTATTGGGAAGCCTTGCCAGTGTGTGCATTCCAAGCATCCGCATCACTGAGAAATGCCACTGGTTCAGATGGTTTTACAGGCAAGTTCTATCAAACTATTAAGGCATAGATAATCCCTATGTTATTTAAACTGTTACACAGCGGGGGGGGAAACGTTTTCCATTTCACTTCCCAAGTTTAGCATAACTCTGATACCAAAATCTGACAGAGATAACATCAAAAAGGAGAATTACAGATCAGTTACAGAACACTAGTCCCCAGAGAATTTAATAGTGTGTTTTTAAAAAGGAGGTTCTGCAGTCAAATAACTCGAGAAAGTGCTGCATGTCATTTAGAGTCTACATTTTAGAGACTCACAGTATTAGTATATTAAGGTCTCTGTGAAGTCCAAGAGTAAAGAAACCTGATTAATCGTCATTTCCCAAACTCATCTGAGCCAGGATCACCTTTTCAAAGGTCACCAATTAATCTCTAATATGTCAATCACTGCTCTTACAGACCAATCCACTTAAGTATACAGTAGTTGCAAAACTACTAAATAAAATTTTAGCAATTTGAATCTAACTTGCTGTAGAACAAGTCAAAATTCACCATGATCAGGCATGATTTATTCCAAAAGTGCAAGGATGATTCAACATTAAGGAGTCTAAATTCACTGCATTCTTAAAGAAAAATAAATCACAGGATATTATCAACAGGAAAGACGCTTTAAAAATATTTGATAAACTCAACACCAGTTGCTTGTAATTTTCTAAAGCACTCTTAAACTAGGAAGAAAATTTAAACTTTTTAACATGACCAAGTTTATTTATCAGACGCCATGAGCAAATATATTTAATGGTGAAATACTAAAGTTATTCTCATTTAAGTCAGAAACAAAACAAAAATTTGCCTGCTATAATTGCTACAAACTAAAGCCAATGCAATAAGATAAGAAAAATAAATAAGAAATACAATAATGGAAAGGAAGAGCCAAAATTGTCATTATTTGTTCATGATGTAAATGCATATCTAAAAATAAAAATTGAAGGGAATGAACTAAAAATCTTAGAGAGCAAAGTAGCTAGTTATAAGATAAAAAACAAAACCAATGGCTTTCCTAAATGTTAAGGGAGAAGGCTTCTATTAGAAAAAGACCTGTGGCAGGGGTGGGTATAGCTCAGTGGTAGGGCACATGCTTAGCATGCACAAGGTCCTGGGTTCAATCCCCAGTACCTCTACTAAAAAGAAAAAAAAGGGATGATTTGAACTATTCTTAAAAAAAAAAAAATGGAGAAAAAAAGAAAAAGACTTGTGGCGTCTCTACATGCCAGGGGATAATGAATGACTTTTCTGATTAGTGAGTTTGGGAGAAAGAATTGAACATGAATAGATGCTTCTGAGTTCTCTTTTGGGCTTTGGCTGACTGTAGATAGCAAATATTTTCATGTGCTCTCCACCATGTGGTAAGCGGACCTGTTTCTGGGGCAGAGAGATACTACTGTCCAGCACTGCCTGCTTCTAGACAGGTAAATCTATCCAATTCAGGGAGAAATACAGCAAATCCATTTGGCTAGAGATCAAAAGCTACATTTTCCAGTCAACTTTATCTATAATGAAGGTAGCATTTTAATCTCCTATGTCTCTTTTCTGTACCTATGCCTCAGTTTCTTCCAAATTCAGAAAAGGAAGAGAGGTATTACTTATAGGATCCCCTAAATACAACATTAAATACCTGTGATTTCCATTTAGAAAGTATAACCTTTTTTAAAAGATTATATTCCATTAGCAATGAATACTATAAAACACCCAGGCATAAGCTTGACAAGAAATGGCAAGGCTCTTAGAATAAAACTATAAAACCTTCCTGAAGGACATAAAAAATAAGTCCTTGGTTAAAGGAAAAACATAACAAATCCCTGGGCAGGAAATCTCATTATTGCAAAGATGTCATATCTCCCCAACTCAATTTCTAAATTTAGTGGAATCCAAATCAAAGAACCAATATGATTTGGGGCTGGTGTGCAATGGAACATGACAAAATTATTTTAAAACTTATACAGGAAATAAATAAAGAAATAAGGGAAAATATCCAGGAAATTTTTTAAACTGAATAATATTATATTAAATTATTATTACAAGAACATTCTTAGTAATAATGAATATATAAAATATAAAGTTTTCTATTATATTATGATATCTGTTAGAGCAGTAATAATATTGCCCTAACATATTAATATATAATGTAAAACTTCAGTAAATAATTGCAGGCCACTAATATAAGCTTCTGTTTATAAATGCTTTGTTTCTATCCACTGATCTATTTGTATCTACCAATATCCTACTCCAAATCATATTGTCTTGCCTAGACCACTACAGTAACTTCCTTACTGATCTCCTGGCTTGGCCTCCATCCAAACAATGGAAAAGAGCATCCAGAGTGATCACTAAGTAATAATAATGATAAAATGCAGCAAGTCATTCCCTTGCTTAAAGCTCTCCAATGACTCTCCATAAAATAAAATAAAATTCAAATGCTCCAGCATGACCCAGAAGATCTCGTGTTGTCTAGACCTTGCCTGCACCTCCATCCTCTTCTCGGTTGTTCCACCCACACTAGTCTTCTTTTAGATTCTTAATCAAAGCCCTTTCTTCCCTGAGGGATTTCACCTAAAGCACACCTCTCCATCTTTACAGGGCCTGGGCCTTTCTCATCCTTAACTCTGTGCTTAAATGTCACCTCCTTGGAGGCCTTCACTGATCTATTTAAGCAGATGCTCAGAGTTTTCATCCAGTATCAGTTCACTTCCTGCTTACCACTCATCACAATTTGTAACGATTTACTATTTGTTTACTTATTCAACTGTAAGTCTCCTCACCAGACTAAAAGCTCCACCAAGGTGTCTGTTCATCAAGTATAAATGTGCCACACATATTAGCCGCTCAATAAACATTTGC